CAAGGGGGGCACGGACCTTCCTGCCTGGCCTCCCACAACACTTCCCAATCTTCTCCTTTCCCTTCCTGCCCTGTTAGTTGCTGACAGCAGCAGGAGGATCCTGGCAGCCCTGGCTGGGCACGCAGGGACCCGATGGCAGGAGGGGACACGGGGGTCAGCTTCTCTCCTGCAAAACAACCCGAAGGCCAAACCTGGCAGAGAAGGGACAACCTAACTGCCTGTGCTAACGCCTGCTGACAGCAGCACGCGGGGCTCGTCTCGCTTCCCCAGCTGCGTCGTCCTAGAAGGGTTTAAAAAGGGACAAGCGTGGGAGACCAAAGTGAACACGGTGCCAACTCTGTCTAACCCCTGCCCCCCGCCGCCCCTCGGCTCCTGCCTCCATCCGCAAGCAGCAAGTACAAGGTAGAGAGTGGGACCACCAAGAGGTCACGGCTGGGGACTGTCTGTAGGAGATTGGAAAGAACAGAACCGAAAAATAAAAACTCAAAATAAAGAAATAAAATAGAAGGGGAAATTAAAAAAGAGAGAGGAAAAAATATACATGTTATGAAAGGCAAAAATTACAAACTGAAGAGAGGCACAAAGGACTCCAACATCAATGCAACAGCAGAGGCCAGCAGAGAGGAGCACAGCCAGGCACAACCCACCGATGCGTGTTACAACAGCCTCTGCAGAGAGAAAGGGGGTTAACCTGCCGCCGCACCCTGCGCAGCGGGGCCGGAGCGGGAACATGCACTGCAGGATGCAGGAACAAAGCAGTAAAGTCCTCCAGAGCGGGAAGCCAAGCCCTCTGCTTCCTCTCCCACCGGGACGCAGCACCTGGGGCAAGCACGGGTGGCTGAGACGGGCACCCAAGACAGGCACCCACAGGCACGGGAAGGGAGCGAGCGTGTCCCAGCGAAGGGGAGAGCCTGCGTGTGCCCGCCTGCAGCTCCAGGCTCTGCTAGGGATGCACAATGCTCCCCGCTTGTGTCCGACACCAGTTTGTACAGGCAGCAAGGGCTGCCCAACCCTGGGCTCAGCGTCTCCATCCCACTGCCCCTGGCACGGCTCCGGCGATCCCCAGGGGTCTGCCGGGTGCCCACAAATCCAGGGGTGCAGTGGTGGTGACAGGAGCTCAGAGCCCCACACCGAGCAGGCAGGGAGGACGGGACATCACTCACTGCTGCTGCAGACCCACGGGCTCTGTGCTGGGAGCAGCCCGCAGAGAGACTTCAGATCTGGGCCCTCTCTGGGAGATCTGCTGGGGTTTGGGGTTTTTTTTCTCTTCATTTTGCTGGGCAAGCAGCTGACAAAAACACCTGGCTGTGGGAAAGCGAGGATGGCGCAGGTGTGCCCTCGGGGACCAGCATGCAGCACACGCAGCGGCAGTGGGGAACAGAGAGAACAGGGATGCAAAAAAAGGGGGGGAGGGAGAAAAACAAAAAAAAGGACATCAACAGCCTTGGGAACCCAAGGCCACAGGGGAGAGAGACAGTGCGAGGCACCACAGCACATGTCACAGGAGACAGACAGACAGACAGCCCCGTGCCGATCAGATACGTAAAATATCACCACTCCGGGACCCTCACTGACCTCTAACTTGTTGCTCCAGGTTCAGTATGACTGATACGGCCTGGTGTAGGATTAGCAGTTTGGTCTGCGGTTTTTCGCTGTTTAGGTGGAGTTGGCACATGCGTCCGAGCTCTTTAAAGGCCTCGTTGATGTCACGGACCCGCAGGCGCTCACGGGCATTATTGGCGACCCTCCTTTCTCTCTCTCTCTCGGCTTTTTGCTCTGGGGGAAGAAGATCGTCCTCCTCATCCTCATCTTGACTAATGGTTTAAAATAAGAACGAGACAGGGACATTCCTCGCGTGCACTCTCAGCACTGGTCAACTCACAGTAAAGAAACACACGTCGCAGCACCGAGACGCTCAGCCCCGCGCGTGGCCCCGTGGAGCTGTGCCCCGCGTGCCCCTGCCGGGACGTGCCGGTCTGGTGCCCCATGCTCAGACTCGGGGACACACTGTGACTTTGGAGAAAAGCAATTAAGGCTCTTCTTATGCCTCTTTTTTTTTAAAAAAAACCCAAAACAACAAAGAAAGAAACCACAACAACACAATTAAGGCCTGAGGTTGCAGGGTGGCCTGGAGAAGATGTAGGGGCCAACACTGGTGTCCCAAGCTGGCGTTTTGGGAAGATGCAGCCCTCTGCTCCAGGGCAGGGGGTGGCTGCAGGAGTGGGGCTGGTGCTGCCCCTCACCCTGGCGAGGTCTCCGAGCCGATGGAGAGGTTGCAGACAAGCCAGCACGCTGGAAGGACTCTACCTGATCTGCTGCCACACATCTGGCTGGATGTGACAGAGGATGCAGGAGCCCGAAGCAGACAGCGGAGACAACCTGAAGCAGGGGGAGGTCAAAACCTTCCCCGGCCCTGGCCAAGGGGAGCTGAGCGCTTGGTCCTTTCTGTGCACGGCCACAAGCAACACCCTGAGCGACCAAGCAGGCGGACACAGATCGTGTGGACAAGGTGCCAGCCCTCTGCTTTAGGAGCACAAGGAAGCCCTGTGGCCATGGGGATGGGACCCTTCCCCAGAGCAACCAGCTGCGGGGGAGCACTGGGAGCCAGGGCTGTGCCACCTCTGTGCTGGGATGGACAAGGCTCCTGCAGTGGGCAGGGGCTGGTGGGTCTGTGCCACAGGACGACCCTCGGCCACACTGGGCTGAGGTCAGTGCCTGGTGGGTCACCTTGGCCATAGCCCAGCCCAAAGGCCCCCAGCCTGGTACAAGTAAGTGAAGGGAGAGACCTGTTCAAAGAGCACCTTGTTCTGTTCCGGGAGGGTTTCAGCTCTTTCTTCTCCTCTTCCGAGTTGTCTGCCACTGACGTGTTCTCCTCGTCCTCCTTCTCTTCCCTCTTTATTTCGCTGGTTCCCGAGGAGACACTGCTTCGCCCCAGCCCCCCTGACAAGCCTGCTGAGGAAGCAGAGCCAGACATGGAGGTTGGAGGGGCTGGACCCGCACAGAGGACTGAGGGGTCCCCAGGCCCTGCTCCTCCTATGCTACATCACCAGCATGTGGCATCCTGGACTCATCCTGCGTGGTTGGTCCACAGCAAGAGGTGCTGGAGGGGTGCTGGCTCTGCCCTGCCACCACTCCCCATTCTGAGAATCATAGAATCCCAGAATGGTTTGGGTTGAAGGGACCTTCAAAGGTCATCTAGTCCAACCCCCTGCAGTGAGCAGGGACATCTTCACTAGAGCAGGTTGTGAAGCCTGACCTTGAATATCTCCAGGGACGGGGCCTTCACCACCTCTCTGGGCAACCTGTTCCAGTGATCCACCACCCTCATATTGAAGAACTTTTTCCTGATATCCAACCTAAATCTCCTTTTTTCTAGTTTAAAGCCATCACCCCTTGTCCTATTTCTTCTCCCGCTACATCCTAGCCCTCAGAGTCAGAGCCCAACCTCCTCCAGCACAGCAGGGTCGGGGGGCTCTGTGCACCCACAGCTGGCCAGTGGGACAGGAACATGCAGATCAAACCCTTGGAAAAGGCTCAAGGTAGAAACTGCCCCATGGATGCTGGAAGGAAGCACCAGCCTCACAAGAGCACCCACTTCCCCTGGCCACTGCTGCGCAGGGCTGGACCCCGATCACCCCGGCAGCAGTGGAGCCCCAAGCGTGCAGAGCTGCCTTACCGGTGTACGTGTCCTGCTGCCTGCTGAGGTCAGGGAGTGAGCTGGGCTGTGACGGAAGTGTGACATGGTTGTGGAGCATGCTGGGGTTGCTGGACAACCCGTCTTCAGGGTGACCTCCTCCCACCTACAGCAGAACAAGCAGAGCAAGCCTTGAGGGGGGGAAGTGTCACGGCCAGT